AGAGAGAGAGAGAGAGAGAGAGAGAGAGAGAGAGAGAGAGAGAGAGAGAGAGAGGGAGAGAGCACTTGGCAGCGCTGCGTAATGTCATCATCATCATGTTCACAATCATCATGAGTAGAAGTACGAGCAACATTACGATGCAAGAAACCCTGAACCCTGAACCCTAAACCCTAAACCCCTCCACTGCATGGTTTCTTTCGATTTTCTTCTTGTTGACAACGATGCAATAAGATCGTGAAATGGTGTATAAGCATCCGACTCCAACTCCACTTTTCCCATTTAAAAAAACAATGAGAGATCTTTGGAAAACTGTGTCATATGTCTCAGCTTTATATTGAGACAAATAGCGACAGAGAGAAAGAGAGGACACAAAGAAATTACATCCGACACTAACAGTTGGCACAAAACAGTATCAATCACAGAGAGGTTTAAAATTGTCGGGGTGTAGGGTGCCACACACCTACGAATCCCCCGCGGTCGCGGTCGCCCTGGGTACGACCACGGTTCACGTCGGGTCTGCGAGCCTGTGGTCATGCCCGTGGCGACCCACAGCGGCCGAGGAGAGAGGGGGTTGGGGGTGGGGATATCGGATTGGGGTTCCGGGACCTCGACCCTACCCCCTCAAACAAACAAAAGTTCGATTTTTTATTTTTATTTTTTTTGGGGGGGGGTCGTTTTCGGAGTGTGGAAAAAAAGTTAAAATTAAAATAGAACAAAAAAGTTTTGATAACTTGATTGGTTTTTCATTGATTGTTTGATTGATTGATTGATTGATTGATTGATTGATTGATTGATTGATTGATTGATGGATTAAGATAGAACAAAAAAGTTTTGATTAAAATCGTCAGGGTGTAGGGTGACAGTCACCCCGTGAAGACTTTCTCGGCCAGGCACAAAACAGTATCAATCACAGAAAGGTTTAAAATCGTCGGGGTGTAGGGTGCCAGACACCCCCTGAAGACTTTCTCGGCCAGGACACATTACATAAGCTCTGTTTGACACCCCCTGAAGACTTTCTCGGCCAGGACACACACACACACACACACACATACAACCCCAACTCCTTGCCTCCGGCGTGCCATCATCTCCATTCCCTGACCCTGCCGTTGAAGGTCCACCGAGTCGCACTTTCCCC